GATAGGCAACAGTTCTTACTGTATGGATAATTTTTTTAATTGTTAATGCTCATCAGCAATGAGATCATTATCACTTTGTAGATGCCAAGATGTTTCTGAATAAATAAAATTTTATTTTGGAATTTATCATTAGATTAATTCTAACTTGGTTAACAATAATGAATATCAGAGAAGCTCTTTGTAACAGTTGCTGGTCTGTTAACCTAAAGAAAAAGGTTTTGCTCTCAGTTTTTCAATACATCTAGGTCCAAAATTCAGCTAACCGTAAATGAACTAGTTTCCAAAGATATCCTCAAACAGTCATAGTTTTTCTTGTGAATCTGAAGGCAAAATTTGTCCTGAGATATTCAATTTGTTTTGGCCCAAGGGAATCAATGATATGTTTTGGACCAAAACACATTAGAATTTCAGAAGAGTTCAGAAATACTTTTGTTTTAGGGAAAAATAATGTGCCCTCCTTTGTGTTGGCAGGGCAAAACTGCAATTCTGTAGTATATCTGGTCTAATAAAAATTAGCCTCCTGAATGAATATACATGCACTAGAACTACTTTATGTAATATAAACACCTGAAATCCTTGGGAAAAGACACAAGATAAATAACTGATATATGATTCTGAAAAAGCTAACACATTTAATGGTGTTATCTCCCTTTTCAAGAAATAATGAACTCAGCATAACTAAAAGCATTAATCAGTCAAATATCAAGCATTTATTGACCACCTTATGTTCTCCTATTCAGTCAACAAATATTTAATGAGCACTTACTTCCTATGTTCTAGATGATGGGATATGTAGTAAATAAAGGGAGTATGGCCATTTTCCTTCACAGAATCCAGTGGGAAGTCAGAAAATAAGTTTAAAAAAATAAGGGGAAAAACATTAACTCTTATGGTAGGCATGATAAATGAAATAAACAGGGCACCCTGATAGAGAAAAAAGGAGGTGAAGGTTAATTGACCTAGAGAGAACGAGTCCTAGGGAGATGACATTAAAGCTGAGACAAGACAGAAGATCACCAAGGAAAAACCAACAAGCAGCATGTGACAGCCCACGGGAGCTGGGGGCGGAGCACTTACTGTGTTTGGAGAAATAAAAGAACAATGGATCAAACATAAAAAGCAAAGGAAAAAAGACATGAGATGGATTTACATGTATGGATGGATCAAAAATCATGCTAGGACTTACAGGCCAAAATAGGGAGTGTCACTTTTATTAAAATGAAATGTGAAGCAGGAAAATAATGACTGCTTACACTAGGATGGGTGCAGGAGAGATGGAGAAAGTGACCAAATTAGAAATGTTTTTAGGATTGGAATGAACAGAGTGTGCCGAAGTAGCGTATGAAAAAAGAAGAACCTAAGCATGATGCCAAGCAGCTTGAGAATATGGGTGCTATTTACTGAAAAGGAAACAGATGTGTGCTGGAGGAGCGCGCAAGTTTGGAGAAGCATAGAATTGTGTCTAAAAATTTGTATGAATTGGACAGAAATACAAGCAAGACCCTGATTCTCAAGTATGTGGCCATGGAGACCTCAACACACATATGCATAGGGAGAGAAGTGGAAATAAATGCCAAGTGTAATTAAATGTCAAATTATAGAGTAAATCCTATGAGTGACCCATCCAAAGATTCAGATGGGGTAGAAAATAAAAACTAGATTTGTGGAGGAGTGGGAATGTGGAAAGAAAGTATGAATATGAAAGTGGCCAAGGAAGACTCAGCACAGTTGAAGGGGCTGGAGTATTAGTGGCACAGACTGAGACAGGAATGAGGATTTTCTATGAGAAGAGCAGACAGATATTCCCTCTCATCTGTCATAAAGTCATTAAACAAATCTACAATAAAGAATCCCTCCCCAGGGGAATCTGGGTGTCTCAGTCAGTTAAGGGTCTGCCTTCAACTCAGGTCATGATCTCAGGATCCTGGGATTAAGCCCTGTGTTGGGGTCCCTGCTCAGCGGGGAGCCTGCTTTTCCCACTTCCCCTGTCCCTTCCCCTGCTTGTGTGCTCCTTCTCTCTCTCTTTCTCAAATAAATAAATAAAATCTTGAAGAAAGAAGAAGAAGAAGAAGAAGGAAAGAAGAAGAAGAGAAAAGAAGAAGAAGAAGAAGAAGAAGAAGAAGAAGAAGAAAAAGAAGAAGAAAAAGAAGAAGGAGTCCCTTTCCAGCTCTGCAACCCCACTGCAGACTCCTGTCCAGGCTGTCATCATGAAGTTCAGGAGACCTTGGCATAGCTTACTACCATTGAGTTTCTGCCTCAAGCAAACCTGTCCATTCACTCAGACTGGCCTTTCCCAAACCACAGAGCTGATCATACCCTTCCCCTATAAATTCTCCCTGACACAACACCTGTGCAAAGGCCTTTCTGGTCTGACCCCTTTGCTCCCAGTTACAGCTCACTCCATCCTTCCTACTGCACTCACTGCTCCAACCAACACATGCCATCCCAAACTCAGAATTGTCTCTGTGAATGTTTTTGCATATTATTTTCCTCAACTTGTGTTTAATTTTTCTGGCCAAAGTGGAGCAAGACAACAAAACTATAGTATGCTTTATAGCTGATATCATAACAGAGACAATGTCAACGTTGACAGTTCTTAGCTTGGTCAATGATTGGTCAATGATTCAATAATTCCTAAATACCCCCTTATTTGAAGTCTAAATTGCCCATCATACTGGGAGACAGAATTGGTCTTCCTTCTGTTCTGACACCACCCCGCCTTATACATGCCCATATTATAAAACCTATTGTCCTATAAGCATGTTTGTCTTAATCCTCCAAACACATATATAGGCATTACTCATGCCTCTTCATCTTCATATACTACCATCTTCCCCATTGCCTATCCCAACATCGCCACAGACCACCTAAATAATGAATACCACCATATTTCAGAGTATTTGTGAATCTTATCCCCAAAGAGCTTATGTCTGCTCCAAGCATTTTCTCTGGATCAGCTCACAGAATGATAGTGGATGGCCAGCTCAATCTTAAAGTATTATTGACACAAAGTGGCAGAGTTAGGCCATCTTCAGTTGCCTCAAACCCTGACATTTTCTTCTAAACCTTACAATTCCATTTTCTTCTCATCCAGACAGGTGCTGTCTAAAATGAATAGGTCTTGTAGCCTATAACCTTCTTTTTTTCTATGAACTTCTCTGATTTGAGAGGTAATCCTTACTTGTCAATGTTATTGAAAATATGGAAAGATTTACTTCAGTGGCCACATGAATGTGTTCACAACCTATTGCATAATGAAACATTTACAAATTATCTTTCTCCTTTCCTAAATACACATCTTACAGAAGATTTGTATCTTTCACTTAATGAGTAGTGTGTGAACTGGCTAAAGAAAATGTTTCTTACACACAGCAGATAGTGCACTTGTGCATGTAATTGATCCAAGCCACAGCAATGTTGAATGTTTATTTTATCCAAAATTAATTTCTTGTTAATAACTGTCATTTTACTGGATTCTTTCACTGAATATTGCAGTAGTAATGAGGTTTTTTCTAAGCCATTATTTACAAAGTTATAAAGTTTTTGTTTTGTGTTTTTTATTAATTTGCTTATTTTACTGTAAGGGTGATACTCTTTACATGCCAATGAGCAAAGAAACATAGAACCACAGGACTGAGGTGATATGCAGGGTGGGTAGAGCTCCTTCATTTATGAGAAGATGATTTCTCACATCACCAGTTGAGAAAGCTTGAAGCACTCTTAGTAATGTTTCTCACATGGCGATCAAAACTGACATGCACCTGCTGAGCATGTTAGGTTGGTCATCAACAATTAGGACAGCAAATAGAATGCGACAATTCCAAGAAGGAACCAGCAATTTAGGACCAAGTGATTAAAAAAAAAAAAAAAAAAAGCTGTAGAAGGCCTTTCCTGGTAAGCTGGGGTATCTCAGTTGAACACAAAAGGCTGTAAGGCTCCAGAGTTGAGGTGTAATATGAATTCCAGTGCTTCAGAAAGATGCTGTGATCATTGTAGAAACGAAATGGGAGCCAAAGGGCTAGGATAGCATCTTCTCTTTAAAAGAATAACTAACTTTTTACACAAAATACTTAATGAAATACAAATGGGCATATTTGTGTAAAAATGTTAGTAACCTCTTGAAGGTTCTTCAAAAGGAAAGTTGCAGCATTCACTCTGTGCTTAGACAAATGTCCTAGTTTCTTCCTTCAGCCTCCACATAAGTGTATCAGTCATGACCTCCCAACTTACTTACCAGCATGGACTAGCTTCTAAGTCAAAAGAGGTACTCATTTAAAATACCTTTATTCTCAGGGCACCTGGGTGGCTCAGTCAGTTAAGCATCTGCCTCTAGCTCTGGTCATGATCCCAAGGTCCAGGGATCGAGCCCCACATCGGGCTCCCTGCTCAGGGAGGAGCCTGCATTTCCCTCACCACCACCACCCCCCACTCTGCTTGCTCACTCTCTGTGCTCTCTTTCTCTCTCTCTCTCAAATAAATAAAATCTTTAGAATAACTTTATACTCATTTACTTGTTATAAATAAAAGAGCACCTCAATTGTCAATGATCATATTTGTGAGCTAATTTTCCCAAAATTTGGTTCTTATCTAGGTTCATTAAAGTTCCTAGTTGCAATGTGTTCACTGGCTTCAGAAGGTCTTGGATGGCTGAGTTGTTGATATAAGAAGCTTCTCTTGGATCTATGCAATTTTTGTAATTATTGATTAATTAGATTTGAATGTGAAAGTTGAACAAACTGTTTTGTTTTTATTTTTCTCCAATTTAGAATTTTTGTGGCAGAGATGAAGGGATAAAAATGTGCATAAATATTCAAATGTGCTCAGATGAATAATCTGTTGAAAGCAACAATTGACTTCACTTAGAAATGTTCAAATGTGTTTTGTGTAAAGGTTGACAGTAGTTTTCAAGAAGATGAAGAATTACTTTGGTTAAAACAAACAAAAAGGCAAAAATAATCTATCAACATCATAAGCTATTGTTGTTCTTTCTTGCAACTTACAGATAAAGCAAATTTTCAAGTCCTTCAAAAGCATTTCTGGAAATCTGTCTGATTTGGTTGTTGTTCAGGAGACTGGAAAAACAGAAACAAACAAATTCCAGAATGAGAAACAGATTCTGCAAATATTACAATAATTCTACTAGAAATAGTGATTACAGAGTTGAAAAACATTTACAGATATGTTCACTAAATTTACAAATTTAAAATTTTCTATTCAACAAGGCTATATTAAAATGTTAGTTTGTCACAAAAGACTTCAAAAATAATTTATATTTATTAAATTACCCTAAAATACCCCTTAAAGAGGACTATAAACCCTAGGATAAAATTCCTGTTTTCCTGAAGCCTACCATTTAAAAGGAAAATTATCAACATAGTCACAGTGACAAAGGAATATATTTCTAAATAAACAGATGGAGAGTTATATACACTCAGGCTTAAGCATTTTCCTTGGAAAAATAAATATCACTGCTCTTGGCAAACAGTGGACTCTCATTGTGTATTTGTTGAACTGTCAAACTGAGAGTCAATTACACCATAGGAAGTGAGGCTCTTATTATAGTACTCTCAAATGGTCCAAAACTGACTTCTAAAAATTCCAGGGAGAAAAATAACAGGTGGCAAAAATAAATTGGATTTGAACAGTAAAACAAGTTACAGAAAAATCACCTCTCAACAACTTTGAACATTTTAGAAAAAGCACTCTGGCAAATAAAAATTATAGATTTTTTTCCCTAGTAAATACATTTTCAATTTCTTTCAAATTTAAATTATTATGGCATGTCTAAATGTACAGGGAATGTCTACTAATTGAACTGGCACACATTTTTCTGAATATCCTATACCATTTAAAAACTCCAAAGTTTCTAAAATCCACTGCCAGAGTAAAATGCTAGAGGATTCACTTTTAGTATATTATAAAATATTTGTTTTGTGACTTTTTTTTTTTGTATGACTTATTAGGGAAACAGAAGTGTTTTGGCCAGTGGAGCAGGTGATTATTTTACTCATTATACACACAGAAACAGCCCAGAGACCCCAAATTCAACTGCCTTTAACCTATTCAGACATGCCTCACTTCTAAATGTTCAGCCACACAATTAATTCCCCAAATAGCATTTGAAGGCACTACCCAACACCCCATTTATGGTACCAAAGCCACTCCTTGCGATTTATGCCTAGTGTTCTGGCCATCAGGGAGGCAGAACAATCAATCTACAGTATGCATTAGAGCTGAGGCCAAACAGAGATAATGTCCATTTTTATGGATAATTCTTAGCTTCAGTCAATGATCCCATCAACTTTATAGTCTACCATGTGTTCAAGAAATTGTTTAAGCTAACTAAAAGCAACACACTTAGTTAATATCTAGTTAATACCAGTCACAAATATTGTCCTGAGAAAATTTGTTATTTAGTTACTCTCTTTGTACATTCTTAATCAAATATTCAAAATCCAACACAACACTTGCTTTAGATCCCCAAACTACCACTATACATCTATTGTTACTTGAAGAATGACTATTCTACCCCACATTTTATTAAATACATGCACCACCACATGTAAAAAAGTATATGTATGTATGCACACATGCATATATACATATATTTATATGCATATGTGTGCACATAGATATAATGCACATGTGTACACATAGATGCATATCTGAATGTGTATACATGTACATGTGTGTATGTATACATGTGTATATACATATACTACATACGTGTGTGATTTGTTCATCTTCTATGTGATATGTTTGTATGTGTGTTACATGATATGTATATACAGTCTCAATCTCATCTGAACCATAGAATATAGGAAACTGTTTGACTATTTTCTTAATTGTCTGAAGGATGGTGCCTAGGAAAGGAGCTGATCCATTTAACACAAAGGATGCCTTTGGTCATTAGTGTTCAATCTCTTTCAGTACCAGAACTGAAAAAGGAAAAGATACTATTCATCATAATTCATCTTTCTTTGGTATATAAAATGTGCTCAATTCCTGTTTCTGCATATTCTTACATAGTTATCTAAATTTTGGTGAAAATAAAAAACATTAAACTTCTAAAATTGCACAAAAATTGTTTGCATTTCTTGAACATTGTAATTCAATATGAATGTTAATAATCTAACATATGAGATCAAGCAATTTAACTCATAGGTTTTCTTGGAAATGTTTTTATTGTTGACAAGAAACAAACCCATTACAGTGGTTCACAGTTGAATGTGTTTTCCAATCACAAGTACATATATCTTGTTAAGATTTATTCAAAACATTATGTTTTCCATCAAAATATCTGTTATAATTTTAATGGATGGAATATTTTCCTAACAATGTTTTGGTTAAGTGATTATAAAGACTGTCATATATATTATTTTTTGTTTTATTTTTCATAAAGGAGATGTATTCAAAATTTATGAGTGATTCTACTGACATTCAGGGCATAAAGCAATATCTAACATCCTTTCACAAAAAATCAGTGCAAGCTTGAGGAAATGTGTGGTTATATTCTATATCCTAATATTGCCTATGATGCCAAGGAGGGGACAAAAAGAAGCAAACAAAGCTCCCTTGAAAAATGTTATACTTTTATTGTGGAAATAAAATAACTCCTGAAAACAGGAGATCTGCAATCCTGATGATCAAAACCTTGGGGAAGAAAAACCAGCAATAGATCAACGGGCTTGTGTTAATTGCATCTTTCATTGCTGAAACAGTAACTTACACACAGGATGCACACACATACTTGTACATTTGATATACATACAAATGTGTACTGTGTGGGTGGAAATATTTTGTTAAAAAGCAATTGGCAGCTATCAGGAAAGATAAAAGCCGTTTGCATGGTTATGTATTCATCAAAGTGGAAAGAAGCAAAATAGAGCTTTCTCCTGTGTCAAAATTTCCATTCAAGACAATGCCAAGAGTTACTCTGAAAGTGAATTATTATATCTACATTTAAATACAAATAAGGTAGTTTGGGGTGTTTTGTAAGTGGTAATAATGTTAATCTGCTCCTGCTTTATAATTATGTTTATTTTTCATTTGGACACTCTCCAGAAATGTGGTTCTGCTACCCTTAACATAGCAGGATTGTGCACTTCATTTCCATGCTTACAAAAGTAAGTAGTCTAGGGGCGCCTGGGTGGCTCAGTCGTTAAGCATCTGCCTTCAGCTCAGGTCATGGTCCCAGGGTCTGGGATCAAGCCCCACATCGGGCTCTCTGCTCAGCGGGAAGCCTGCTTCTCCCTCTCCCACTCCCCCTGCTTGTGTTCCCTCTCTCACTGTGTCTCTGTCAAATAAATGAAATCTTTAAAAAAATAATAATAATAAAAATAAAGTAAGTAGTCTAAAACTTTCAATAACCATAAACTGTGATTCCTGAGTTATCTGTATAGTTACCAAGTAAGAGATTCTTGGCCAAAGTTAGTAATGACTATTTTTTGAAAATTTGCCACCACTAATACCACTAAAAATTTTACATTATTATAAGTACCACATAAATCATTTGCAGTTCAAAACAGTGGAAAACAAACAAACAAAAATAAATAAATAAATAAATAAATAAGGCAAGGTGTAGGAGAGAAACGGAAGAAAAAAATCAGGCAGATTTAAAGAACACAGTTCTTCATTTGCATGTATCAACTCTTCATGCATATTTCTCGAAGGAAAAAGCAGATTTACATGTGAAATCTCTCTGTGAGTGACAAATTCTTTCACAGATCCAATAGATAAACTGCCCTCTCTATCTTTTGAAATTTTAAGACCAAAATTTAAATGTTCTGAAGTAAAAGAAAGATACAGATATTTTTAACTTTCTTTGTGCATGTCCATATTGTCTATTTTTTTCTATAATTAACACAGATCATTTATGTAGCATTATAGTTCTACTAAAATAGAAGTTGCATGAAAATGATATGTTCCTTGTATTTTGTGAGTTCAGAGGAATAGACATTGGCTCTGTGTGTTGGAAGATGACATAAGAGCTCTTGTATGTATGCATGTATAGGCAAATTTTTTAATTTAATAATTGATTTTACAGATTGGATAATATACTCATTTTACTATAATATGGGGAGAGGTTTCTTAAGGCAGTTCTAATATGCCTGCTATATTACTAAAAATGCACCCTTCTTTGGATTTGGTATAGACCTAAAAATGTCATATTTTTAGTTACTGCTTGTATAATAATTTTTTGTGGTAAGACAAAGTATGAGCACAATGGCAGTATTTTGTCCTGTTTCTTTGTTTACACTTGACTGGTGCATTCTTTTTTTTTTTTTCCTCCCTTCTAAAACTTCTAGTCTAAAACGATCATAATTCTTTTTTTTTTAATTTTATTTATTTATTTGAGAGAGAGAGTGAGAGATAGAGAGCGCATGAGAGGGGGGAGGGTCAGAGGGAGAAGCGGACTCCCTGCTGAGCAGGGAGCCTGATGTGGGACTCGATCCTGGGACTCCAGGATCATGACCTGAGCTGAAGGCAGTCACTTAACCAACTGAGCCACCCAGGCGCCCCTAAAACGATCATAATTCTTTAGGGTAAAAGACTAAAACATTGTCACCATTATATAAAGTACATCTTAAAGAGTTTCCATGACATTAGGTCAGAGAGAGATGAGTTATCATTATGGAAAGAAGACAAAGGTATCATGGTCAACATAAGATAAGATTGTATAATGAAAACCCCACATTCAACTGAAAGGAGAATACTTCTTTTAGATAGACAGTTTAGATAAGTGGAAAGACAAATCACATTCTTAGATAAAGTCACAGTGGTAAAATTTAAATGTTAATTAAAGTATCCAAAGGATTTTTTTTTTTAATTTGTATGCGTGCTGCTGAAGTGAGCACATTGAATTTGAAGAATTGTCCTAAAATACATGGGGGTGGGGGGTGGAGTGGAGGGCTGGGGTTGTGGCTGTGGAAATAACCACTAAAATAGTAAAAAAGAAGAGAGATAGAAACTACCCTATATAGAAAATAAAACAGAAAACAAGAATATTTGAAATATTTCCATTGTAATTTGTCTAGAAATAGACCCAGTGCATGTCAGAGATATGTATATG